AATGTTTGACCATTGGTCTTCATAGCTGCAGATCCACTCTCCTACCATTCTCACATCTTCAGAAGTGCCTAAATGCCAGATATTCAAAGTGCCTAATGGCAAAGATAGACACCTAACTGCTGGTTACAAAACTGCCTAATCAGGTTAGGCATCCAAGCCCTACTAACTTATCAATGGCAGTTAGGTTCATAACCTGCTGAAGTGATTCTGAATATTCTGCCTACCTTTTTACATACTCAAATACAGGTAATATATCCCTAAAGTCACTTAGCAGCCCTACATCCACAAAAGTGACTCAAGAATTCAAGTCCCTTGGATTTTCAGTGCTTTGAAAAATCAACCCTTTTTGTCTCTCTGTTTTACTCCAAATTCCTTGTCTTGATACTCCCTATGCTTGGAACAGCCTCTTAAGTAGTGTATATCAAATTCAATTTTATCTTGCACTGAACTGTGGAAAAATTGCTTATTTTGTGAAGCATTTGCTTTTTCTGTGTTTGAACTATGTCATGTCTGAAAGAGTCTTTAAGACTGATTTCTAATTCATCATGTCTAATTCATCATCATTTCTAATTCATCATGTCTTAACTTACTGTAAAATATGTTTTGACATTTATCCTACTAATCTGTTTTCTATTGGGGATATTTCTATTTTCAAAAACATGCATAATCCTCACCTATTCTTAGACATACAAAGATACCTAATGGAAAGTATCCTTTGTCCAAAAGAAAAATGGTGTAGAACCTGTGGGCAATGCCTTTTCTATGGTATCTTTTTAATCCCCTTTTATACTGCTCATAATTCCATCATATAAAAAACAGTAGGGCAGTTGACAGTAAGACATAATACATTTAAAGCAGAATGGAACACTTTTCAACATGAGGAACAATGAAGCTATAGAACTTTCTTCCAGAGAACATGACTGAGCCAAATATTTTGGGAAGATTTTTTTTCCCAGAGGCTTATAGATAAGTACACCATGCATCTGCTGTCAGTGTCTGGGATTAAAAATGTTTGGGTTTTTGTATTAAGATTTGTAAGTACAGGTTTCCCTCGATTTATGCTGTACTTGCGTTCCTGGAGAATGGCACATAAATCGAATTCACATAAAGTGAACCCCCTTTACAATTAACGAATAGGGATAGGTTCCCATGGCAGTGGGGGAGAGAGGGAGCGAGTGAAGCTGGGACTAGAGAAGGTGCGGAGGGAGAGGTGCTGCTCCTGGGGCTGCACAAGGCAGCAAAGCAGAGGGAACAGAGCAGTGCTCACGCCAGCCCCACATACAGTGGCCCCAGGAGCAGCTGGCACCAGCTG